AAAAAAAAAAAAAGAGTCTACGATCGAGCAAAGACGGACGAAGAGAACAACAACAACACCTGACTGGAATAGAAAAATAATCTTTTGTTTGGTGTTTTCTGACTATTCTCTTCTCTGCCTGGGAGCCCTTAAACTTGTCATGTGGGGCATCTAGGATGGTGCTCAAGCATCAACTGGAGCTCATTTGACAGCATGGAGCTGGCTGAAAAGGGCACATCTTCAGTGGACGCCCAGGTCTTGCCTTTACTTACACAACTTTGTCCACGACTATGAAACGCTTTCTTCTGTCTTGTGGCTTCCAATTCACATGCAAACAGAAGGGAATTTTTAAAAAGGAGAAAAACTCCCATTTTAAGTATATCTCTGTATACACCATAATGCTGTGAAAACGCTGAAAAGTGTTCAATTGAATAAGTATCTAGAGATGGGAAGTCAATACTTGATAAACCCTCGTATGGACGGCCAAGTGAATGGTCAGAGGAGAGGCTCACCCTGGGAATCCAATGAAAATGTCGAGGGCCCCACTAATACAGCTAAACTGGTTCACAAGGGCACTATTTGTCAAAGTGTGTGGGGGACGTAGGGTCCTCTCACAGATAGCTATACCCATTGTCTATTAATATGTTCACCTTGAAAACTTGACAAACATGGGTTTCGCCTCTTTGTGCAGTCTCCACAGCATATGGCGTTTTTGGCAAGTATGCAGTTAACTTGACCTATTCTAACAGTCTCACCTTCCACCATGAGTTAAAATTAGTGAGGCACCATTTTAGGTCATAGCTCTTCTGGAAGGGTCTGTTTTTTCCCCCCTGCTTGAGGTCAGACACGGATCATCGCTGCACCAGTGGCTTGGATGTTGTTGTCTGATTACATAATTAAACTCTGCAAAAGGGATAGTCTGTTCTGCCGGCAGGAGAAAATGGTGAGATCGGTGTTTAACCTATTTAGCCAAAACGTACCAATAGATAAACAAAAAATGTTGGGTATCTTAAAAGACCTTGTGATGATTGTTAAACGATATGATAACAGTCGCTTCTCATTGTCAGGATCCTGGTGAGAGAGTATGCTAAGTTAAATGGTGGAAAGTGAGAAGTTATGCGCACGCCATGATAAAAAAACTTTTGTTTTTCCCAACCGGACCAGCCAGATGGTTTCCTTACATATCTCAAGTGAAATCCAGCTGCCTTGTGAGGTAACTTTTATCCTGCCTGTCCTCTGACAGAGTATTTCCTTCTACTTCCTAATCAGATGCCTCAGAAACAGGAATTTGAGTTCCTCTTCAAACCACTGCTGTCACTTGAATGCGTGCCTCCTTTTCTCATTCCTCCCCCCTCGGAATGAGCAAGACACACATTTAACTACCCATACTCTTTTGCTGAGTGCAACATTGCTCTTCTGTTCGCCTGGATAATGGTTTGCTTGGAGGGACAAAATTGTCCAAACAAAGCACGTAACCATTGGTTTCATCACACTCAACGGCAGCTTTTTCTGCAAAGAGATATAC